TTAGTCAAAACTTCACTTTATTGATATAAAATATCTCTGTATAAAAATTCTGTTATAAGTGTGTAGGCATGATGGACGTACGCCGAAATTTTGATGTTTTTATATATATATTTATTATTAAATATATTTATATTTTATCCTAGTGGACAAATGATAAATTTAGCCAAAAAATATGTTTAATATATTGAAAATTTGATTGACATATTATTAAAATTTAATTAATTGGTAATTTCTAAGGGATTCTTAATTTTTCTAGATATTTCCGTTTAGAGATACATAATTAATATTATATCACAAAATGCTTAGAACTAGCCTATTCAATAAAAATATGGTCATTTATAATGAGATTGTCAGAAAAACAATACATTTTTCTCAAAGATGGTCATGATAAAGAAAACCCGATTAATTGCCCATTGGTGATACAATATCCGAAAGCTGGGCAATTAATCGACTTAATTCATCTAGACTTTTCTCTTACCTTCTTTTTATACATTGTGAAAACGCTTCATCATCTATTCAGTAACATTATTTATTACACCACTAATAGTAGTGTTATGCCACATAGATTTTATACATAGCAAGACATATAAATTTTTTTTTTGTAAAAGAAACACACCCGTATGCTATTGTTATATAAGAGACATGCTGGTTAGAATGAAAAGTTTTAATTTTTTATAGTAATTAATAGAGCACAAACTCGTTGGTTTTACACATTTCACTGTACGTTACTTATATTTTATTTTAACCATTGTTATTTCACATTAAAAATAATGAAAACAGTAACAATACCAGTAAGAATTTATCCGTTTAACTTTTGTAATTCACTGAAAGAAAACTTCGCAAGTGTGTCTGAACACAATGTTTTATCCGCCTTAAATTCCCCTTTAGTCTAAGCCTCTGTAAAAAACTTCCTTTTTGCAATCCTACGTTTTATTACTGCGATTTTATGCAAATTCTCCCGGCTCTTATCTCGGTCGGGGAAAACAAGTCAGGGCTGTGAATATAATTCGGGATTCGGCCGGCATTTCAATTTTCTATGAAGGAAGAAACACCCTGGAAAATAAAATCTTACACCAGTGTTGGACGATCTCGGTTATTTTTCCCATCATTCGATTAAAAGCTGTCTTTTTTCAGCGAAAACAATGGTACTAGTAAAAATACATCAATCTTATAATGTGTGAAAACCCGTTGGTCGTATATATATTATACCCAATACATAAACATATCCAAGAAAAATAGAAAATATTATTGACAAAAGGAAAGACGAAATGTCATTTCTTGTCCTCTTCCTCGACGAAGCTATGTTGATTCATTCCAGAGACGATGTGAATAGACATTTTTCTGTGATAAAAAAGTTGGCGACATTTATCTTACTCAATAACAAACGTTCTTATTGAAAAATTCGTATTTTCAGCACATAAATTTTATAAGATCCTTTTGAGAATCTTTTTAAAGCTAAATTTTTGTGTGTTCAATCATGATGTTTGATTTCCCATTCGGATTTCACGGATTGACTAGGAGAAATTGGTGTTGGGTGGCACGATTCTCTTGGAAGGCAGGCTTTCTTGGTCCAAAGCCAGCGAATTTACATAGATCACATCAGAGTAATGGGTATTTTGCATTTTGAAGGCTGGCCGTAGGAATATTTAGGGGAGGGAAAAACAAGGGAGAAGTGTGGCGGAGAGTACTGCCATGGTAAGAATTGATTATGCCAATTTAAGCAATCCTTGTTTCAAAATTTGTAAAGGATTTTCATTTATGAATTGCTTAAAATAGGCAATACATCGTTAATTGGCTTTTTATTAAAACCTAATTAATGCAATTAATTAATCCAACTTAACGCTTGTTGTGATTCTATCTGCTGATTTAGTTAACAGATAACCAACTTTATTGTTTTTGTAACAATTAGGTACATCATAATTTTACTAAATGTTTTAAAACTTTTTAGACATATTATTGTCTTCAAAAGATGATTTTATTTCACTCCATATTTTTCAATTTTCTGTGACAGTTTTGTATAAATTTCGTATTTATTGACCCCTTACCTGTTTAAAAATGATCATGATGACAAAAAAATATTAAATATTAAATTTGTTAATTTTTCACATTTATACCCTATACGTTTTCTATCAGCCAAATACAAATCTAATCGATACGTTAATTTCATTAGAGGCGAAATGTTATAAGTATTACAATAATCAAGAAGGCGGGTTATAATTTTGGGATTTCGAAGCTTAGCCTTGATTTTAATTTTCTTAATTGATTTCAACCCTTTTCCCAATTAATAAGAAAAAATAATTTATGCAAATTCGATCAATTTTACTTAATCTGTTAAAAATAATGTCTGTAATAAACAAATACGTGATTTTCTTTCAGTTCAACTGCTTATTCTACAATGTTAATTCTCATAATAAAATCTGACAAAATGATTTAACTATTTTCTTTTTCTCTTCCATAATTTCTTCTTAAGTACAAGGAGTTTTTCTTATTGGCAATTAACGGCGAAAGCCTTAAAGAACAATGAAATTTTGACTTTACATAAAAAAGATTAGTCTGACAGGGAATCAATGCACTTTTGTTGTCTCAGTTGATAATTTGAAAATATTAGCTTTTACTAAGTTCTAATAACAGTGGCAGCCAGCTTATTTTTTAATAATTTTGCGCGAGTTTGACGTTGTTAAGCTTTAAATATTCTCTTCAGTCTTGTCTGTTTTAATATGTATATACCAAAATCATATTGAATGAAGCTTTTAGGGCAAGGCTGAAAGAAGCAGTTAAGTACAGTAAGATTCCCTAAATTTGTATATCATTGGAACTAGTTTAGAGGCCGTGGTCTGCCGGTATGGGATCTCCCTAGGTAGGTGGATGGGTAAAACAGCTAATCTTTACTTTCTTTTTTTGGAATTAGTGTCAGCAGTTGGTTAAAAACGTAATTGGATTAAAATAGTGAGGGTTAATAGGTTTTACATGATAATAATGTGGTATAATAATTTAATTGGAATTCTTTCGAAATGCATTTAGTGATGTACTATTATTCTAGTAAATCTTTTATAAATTACGCCAAATTCTTTGCTATTTATAAATCAACCACTTTTCCTACGAAGCATTTTAGGTTTGGGATATTAATTATTTTTCTTGCCTTTAGAGCCATTTTCCTGGCAAATTTAATATTATAGGTCGCTTATGTATTAAAGATGTATTTTTAAATATTAATCTACACCTGTAACAATCAAACAGATAAGATACAGGAACAATTTATTGTTGCTAAAACTGAAAGAGGCCATCCAACGATTTCAAACATTGGCTGTAATAATTTTTTTAAAGTTCATTTATTTATTTACAATTGCATTTTAAATATGGAACAAGTACATATTTTTATTATATTGCGTGAACGTGCACACAGGTTGTATACACGGACACACAAAACACACTATTTATACCGTTGCTAATATCTCGTCGATCCCTCATTCTAGAAATAAGGGAAAAAACTGAAAGAAAAGAATTAAAAAAACAAACAACGTTTGGGAAAACTAACGATTTATTGAAAATAGTAAATAAATTTCAATTAATTAAGGTTTTTAGATGAGATAAATTAATTGGTCAAGCGGACCACGAAAAATAGTGACTTTAATAGTAAATAAAATTAAACCCTTGGCCAATAACATAAAATTGGAAAAACTTAACTAAAATAAAAATTATATATATAATTGGAATTGATACTGGAGTTAGCTCAAATCTCATTTTTCAATGAGATCATCATCAATCATTTTTATTTTAGTTAAGTTTTTCCAATTTTATGTTGGCCAAGGGTTTAATTTTAAGTTTAATAAATAATTCGACTTCAGTATAAATATGAATACGCATAAAAAAAAACTTTTTTGGGGCGGCAAATATTGATGGGTCTTCTTATTCTTCGCTTTGGTTGTTCTCATTCTTTGTTATTCTTTCTTTTTTAATCTTCGTCTTGCATACAAAATTTTCTCTTTGAAAGCCCGATCCTATCACGACGGCGTCCATCCAGTGATGGGAGCCGTTAGTTCACCAACAGGTTGGAGATCACTTGGCAACTATCCTTTGCCGATGTTAGGTAATTAAGTTGTCAAGTGGGCCACGTCGCTTCAGTCTCCGACGAGGATTGACGGGTAATGTTGAGGATGACAGTTCGCGGATTAAGAGGTTTGGGTGATCAGGTAATTTAGAATGAAAATTTTTGTAACGAAATTGTGCAAGGTCGGATACGAATTTTATATCAGTATGACTTATCGTTTGGTTAGACCCAAAAAGGGAGCATTTATTATTCTTTGAAGAATTTTACATTTGTAGTCAGTTAAGATTGGAACGCTTAGCGGTTCCGTGCAGTCCAAGTCCGTAAGTACATAGTGGGGCTAGCAGGGCGGTATGTAGTTTTTTTGTTACTGTAAGTTTATATCGCTACTCTTTTTAGCAGTCTAAATCTTGTATTTAAATTTTTACGTTTGAGTCTCGTGTGGGGATTCCATGTAAGTCGTTTGTCGAGGTATCGTACGTGGTTTGCAACGGAGATGGGAAGATTATTAAAATATAAAGGAGGGTGAGTTTTCCTTGAAAGTGAAAACTATGTATTTAAATTTAGTTTTATTAACCTTGATTATCCATTAGCGGAGTCAGGATTCGAGTGTGTGTAAGTGATTTTGTAAATTACGTGAAGCTGTAACGGGATCTTTATCGGAGGTGAGAATTGATTGTTCATCGGCAATGGCTATAATTAAATCTAGTTTATACACCACGTGTTAAAAATGATACCTTCCGTTTAGTGTGGCGTTAGTTGTTTTGATGTACCAGTCTGATGACTCAGTTCAAAGTTGCTCATGCAAATAGAACAATAAGGTTAAGTAAATACGGTATTTATTTCTCATTTTGACTTGGCCTAAAGTTGAAATTTTTTCCCGTTGCATGATAATTTGCACAAAAATCCAGGTGATGGGATAATTTCTCTAAGCATGGTTTGTTTGGTTCCGCAGAGCGGTACGTGATGAGGATGTGAGTGGCGAGGAGGTGACGATGCAGTTGATGGTCCTCAACTCCCTTCTCATGTTTGATCTCGTGTTCATGTTTTTCCTTTTCCTGGTTGGCGTCTCCTGCGTGCTTTATTACGTTCCTCCCAGGTCCAGCTCGCCAACAAGCATTCCCATCCCGCCTCCGCCGCCTCCGGCTCCGACTCACCAGACGACGAGGCACACCCTACACTACGTCCTTTGCTGCACCAGATCCTCACCGGCCCCGCCTCAACTTGTCTAGCCGTAAGTAAACGCTTTCTTATATTACTAACAGCATCGCTTTTAGAAATGCATGTTTTTTCGATTCCATAAAACACAAACTTTGCTACTAAAATTATTAATTTATTTAGGGTTTATGGGTCAGCACGGAACCTTAATTTTTCATTTTTAAAAGTCAATAAACATGAAAAATTACAGATATATCTTAACAGCTCCAACTACCTTCGTATAATGGTACTTTTTAAAAGCTATTTTTTGTGGAATGGAATATTTCCGCTGCTATTTTCGGACGGCAGATTTCAGGGCCTTGTCAACGCCTAAAACGTTGCCGCCACCGACACCCCCACATTCGTTGCAATTATTCACTGCTATGTATATAGGTAATATTGGATGTTGAAGAGGATCAGGCGTATGATGTTGAATGAAGTTACAAACTTATGCAAACAATTCGCGGAGCTTTCGACACATATAGTCGCATCATCAGAGCACTGTCGCTAAAGCTCGGAGAATTGTTTGCATAAGTTTGTAACTTCATTCAAGACCATAAACCTGATCCTCTTCAACATTGAAAAAACTGGTCGATCCTCTCCGTAATATTGGATGGATACGCAGCAGCTTCAATGATGGCGTAATGCTGGAATGTGTGAAATAGCGAGAGTAAGCGGCCAGAGCAGTCGAATTATCGCCGGGCAATTTTTCCTCCAAGCGACTCATGTGATAATTGAATGTGACAATTACTTTGAACAGATTTGCTTGTTACAGTTGAATTAGTTGTAATTTAAAGTTAAAACAAAGAAGAATAAAACAGAACATTTAAAACAATATCGAACAATATTGCCTAACCTTCGTAAACTTATAACACGACTTAAATATAACTAACGAGATTATACCATAGGAAATTTTCAAATAAGTCACATATTAAAAATATAGGTAATAAAAGGTAAAATAATAGTTAACCTGATTTTTCCTAATTTATGCCAACAGATAATTTTTTTTTTTAATTTACAAGAAAATGGAAGAAGCAGAGCTTGTCTTTCCTCGGGCATGTTCAAAATAGCCTTATTCCATATTATACAGCATATGTGTATTAGGACTCAGGTTAACCAAAATATGCGGAGGATCGCATTCTCAAAACAAATTAGATGCTTTTCTGTGAGTGTCAAATTTTCAATAATACAAGTAAGACAATAGCCTTGACAGGGCGTAGGGGGTCACTGTTGGCGTGGATGGATCAAACATGCTCAGTATAATTACACTAAATTTCCTTGCTTAGGATTTTAGATACTTCACATTAACTTACATGCCGATGTAGGTTGTGAATAGGAAGTGGGAATGAAAATAATATGTACTTTCATTTAATAAACGATCATGTATTATCCTTTTCATTCTTAATAGCGTAATTCAGTGAGCTGAATGACAACTTATTAAAAAGTCAAAATGTAGCTTTTCTGCGATCTATTTTAACTAAGAAAAAGAGTCCGAAGATAACACTAACTTCAATGAAACATGAAAAACACATAGTCACGGCTTATTTGTGTCTTTCTGCGGGGTTTCCGAGTTCAAGCAGTTTCTTTCGAAAAATTATTTTAATTACAGCATTACACTTTAAACGTTGTTCTATTTTAAACATGTAATTTTTAAGACTAATCCGCCTTATTTAAAACAAACAACTGTTGGTTTATTATCGTTATTATTATTTTAATTTATTATTATTATTATTTATAGTTATTAGATTATTACGTTATAATTACACTATTTGGCATAATGGTATAGTCAGCTGGATCATAGACTACAGTTTCTCTCCTACTTAATAAAAATAATCCACTCCTGTCTTATCCAGACTTTTCCGAGTTTCAATGTTCAGTTCATTTCGATCATCCCGTTTCCCAACAGAGAGAGGCTGCCGGTGTTCCTCATGGCTCTATCCTTGGACCCATCTCGTTATCGTGTTCGAAATCTTGTTCCTTGTAGGTTTCAACAAAATACCATGTATATAGAAAAAAGCCACTTTAAGCTGACGATATCGCTCCTTTCTTGAAGAATAGATAGGAACACGTTAGACAAGGAAATGCGTTGCAAAGGAAGTTTCAGGAGCCGTTAGAAACTTTTAATCATAATAAAACGGAGGCAATAGTTTTCAGCAAGCGAAGCCCGTTGCTGTTTAAAAACAGATATTTTTTTTACGAGGGTTCGCAACAGCAGAGGTCATATAAACCGACAGGGTGCCGGTGTTTTTTTTTTTTTTTTTTTTTTTAAAGCCCATTTGTAAGTATGTCGGATTCGAATGCAGGGCCGCTGGATTGTGATAGTATATGTTTCTAAGATGTCTCGTCTTAAATTCTTCTCTTCTTCAGTTCACTTCAGTCTATACATGGTAACAAGATGCCCATATGATCCTCTTAGGAATGGAATTTCAAAAAATTCTTTCTTAGCGGATATTCATACCATTATAGGAATGCACTGTCAAAATTTCAGTCCTTTAGATCCAGCAGTTTGGTCTGTGCATTGTCTGTCATTCGGCCAGGAACTGTTTTATATATATAGATAAAACAACAGTCAGAACGTACGTTTCCTCTGTAAAGGAAGGAATATGTGGATGGATTTAAAATGAGGGGGTGCGAAAATTCTGTGGCCTTTTCGTTTTCTCAAGTGAATCTCGTCATCAATCGTTATTTGCCCCTTGAAGAAAGGGAGCTTTTCTCGAGTGAATAACGCTGAACCTCTCTTGGTTTCCTTATTTTATCTTAATCCTTTCCCCCTTTCACGTCAACGTTTGACTCAGCCACACACAAATAGGCGCGCTCACAAACATTCTGACTCTTCCTTTCGCTATTATATCCTTCCACGTCTTAAAAAGCATAAAACGAAGAAAGATCTTTTCTCTTCGTTTCCCCTCTTATAAAAGCTTATGAAAATCAACAATTTTTAAGTGATTCCGTGCTTAATAGGCAGAAGGATTTTATAGACTTGCCCTTTTCGGCGAGAACTTCGACATTTTAATTAAATTTTCCCTAGACACGGAAACGATCCGATTTGGCGAGAATCGATCAAATGGAACGGGTGAATTTAAATAAAATACTTCCTTAGTAAAGGTTAGGAGGGAGCTCCCTTGGGGTGGCACGACGAAGAAATAGACTTTGGAAATATATATCTATCTAGCCCTCATCTCCCTAAGGTTCGCTATAGGGAAGGTAGAGACTGTGCCAAACTGCCATAAATTTTACTCTTTCACAGGAAACAATAGAAAATAGTAAAAATATGCATAAAACGATACAATTTTATGCCAAAAGTACTTCTGACATAGATAGGGATCTGGGGAATAACTATCCCTAGATCTAGAAAATATCTAAAAAAAATGTTATAAGAATAATAATTTCGAACGACCTTATGTTGAATTAATTATTTCAATTTGAAAATACATTTAAATGCAACGTCCTTCAATTCTTTAACATGTAACAATGGGATAAAAAATATATATAAAATTAAAACTAAGAGTGAAGAAAATACTCATTTTTAATACTGCAATGATTATAAAATAAATATTGTATGTTTAATTAATATGGATGTAAATATCACTTTCACTATCAGTGCGAAGGGGTTCTCGAGTCCATCCAGTCACCGAGGATGTTGGAAGGTTTGGTCGAACCACTTCCAGGCCGCAAATCCATATCGGCTTAACTAGGTGTTGGAAAGCAGCGTTTGTTTTTGAGAGAAAAGTAAGTGCGTTTTTGATGAAGTCGTGCCAGAGCCCTGTGTCTTGTCGTAAGTTTGTCGATGTAAAGTCGGGGTACCGCACCTTGACCGCAATTGGGAGGGGAAATTTATTCATGTCGTCGGTAGGGGAGATGTTTTTACGGAGAGTGGAAGAAATAAGGGTATGTCTGTCTATTAAATTTTTTAATTTTTCTTCCGCATCTAGACTCTAGAGACCTCATAGTATGAGGTGTCGTTGAAGGCTTCGAGTAGAAATGATGAGAGCTGCTCACTGTAAATATGAGGGTCGTGATTTATGTTATTAAACCTGGTATAGTGTGAGGGCCAGAACGCTACCCTGAGGAACCACAGCATGGATAGGGTATATTTTGAGGGGGAATTTCCTTCAATGACACGGTCTGTGAGATAACTATGCAATAATTGGAGGGAATGCCCTTGAGCAATAACAGTAAACCCGAGTGTCAAACTCATGAAAAGCTTGCTTTATGTGAAGAAAGGCCCCACAACAGTACTGCCCCAACTAGGAGTTATCAAGTGTAGAGAAGGTGGAGATAATGTCTTCCACACCATGGCACTGTTGGATATTAATGGCAGTTGGCAGTTGCAAACACCAAATTGATGATCGGGGATTATAATTTGAGTATTTCGGTTGAGAAGAGTTCTTTTTAATTGGGGCTTTTCTAAAATTTTACCCAAAATGTGTTCGATTGGGATTGGCCTAATGAATTGGTAAAATGTGTTGGTTTTGTTGGTTAAGGGAACATTCTTTTATACCAATGTTTCTATGCTATAGGGAAGTAGGTTGTACAAAGAAAATAATTAAATAGATACGTAACGAATATGATCTCTATTTTGGGTAGGTGCTGGAGGATTTTAGGAGAAATAAGGTCAAAACCTGGAGCTTTCTTGGATTTGAGATGAATTCTGTCAGAATGAACGTCAGTAGGTGAAAATTCTTTAGGGGGAAAGGATAACGGAATAGGGGAGAATAAATATTCCGCGGTAAGTTTTGAGTAAGTTCACTAGTTTTCGTGGTCCGCTTGACCAATTAATATCTTTCAATTAATTAAGGTTTTGAGTAAGTATGGTGATAGATCAGTCACACAATAGGTATTATAAAACTATGAATTAAATTTAACAAATCACAAACATTTTTTATTCTATATCACAATCTTCTATGTATTGAAAGAAGGTCTATTCAGTCAGTGATGTTAGGGTTTTGAGGATTTATCTGAATCTTGAGTTTTGGTTGTTACATCTGTTCTTGATATCGACTGGCAATGGCAAAATGAAAATTGTTACAAAGGGGA